ATCTCATAACTCACTTAAAAAGGGATGTTTTGTAGTAGGATCCTAGTATCTATTTAGCTTCATGAATTTCCATCAAAATATGTGATTTTTTCTGTGTGTTTTGTCATTTATTTTGCTGGAAAGTATTTTGTTGTAATTGCATAAAAGGAAAAAATGTATTTTGGAAAATGTCATCATCTTCCATTCAAATTAACCTCTACTTTACCATAATTTGGAGGGGAGAAACCCTTTTCTCAGTTTATTTAATAGGAAATATTTATTTATTTTTCCCTACTTTGCTAACAGATCCCACCTCAGCAAAGTCTTTGTGAGTAAAGGTGCAACCAGAATGCTTTGAATTACTCAATACTTAAAGTAAAGGCTCTGATATAGACCCAAGTAATTATGCACCACCGGGCCCACAGTGAGTRGCTCTACACTCGCTTCTGATTTTTTTCTGACACAAAGCGAAGTATATTAACTTGAAATTCAGTGGGAGAATTAAGCTTTCAAATGCAGTCTTGCCTTGGTGAGAAGCTGAGGATATGGACAGGATCTACTATTATTGGACAGAGACTGCATGAGATGAACTGAATTGGATCAGACCAGAACAAAGATCCACTTACCTTGTCACTCTGAACCACTTGCAGCCTGTAGTCCAGACTGCAGGAAAAGTCCTAGAATAGGGAAAGTGTGTGGCAGTGCTTCTGTCTATATATACCTGCCCTTTGGGGGGCTCTTTTTTTTTAAAGTAGTCGCTTCAATGAAGTCTTCTGTATTCATAAAGATGTGATTTACAAGATTGTGGGTTTAGACAAGGACTGCAGAATTTGTTCCACTTAAGAATGAATACATTTTTATAAAATATGATCTTTTGTATGTTTTAATTGGATTAGACATAGTGGGATAATATTAACAACAGAATGTAATTCAGAATTAATAAAAGAAGACAGTGCAGAATTTGGCTTAATTTTTGTGCTAGTACACTTGTTTCATTACACTTTGACCCTCAAATCTGTTTTAGCAAAGACAAACCAATTTGTATTTTTCAAGCATATGAATGACATAATGTGGTAATCCTATTTTTTTTATTTTTTATTTTTTTTTAATCCTCCCTAGTGTATTCACATAACTTCTGGTGGGGTTAATTTTAATTCCTTTTAATGAAAGACTATAGAAAACATTGCACTTTATACAATAATATTAAAAGCAAATATGGATGTAACAGAATGCCATGAAAACTGAATTTATAGTAAGTAGATGTTACAGTGCTCTGCCATTCTGTTGCTTCCTTGGTGAATGGGTGTTATGGTCCTCTATTCTCCTGTACTGAGTATTGTCTTCATGTAAGCACTCTGGATCTTTATCAAATGGTTGCAGGGAGATGGAGCCTTCCCCTCTGCTCAGTGCTAGCACTTTGCTAAATTTGACTTTTTTTCTCTAATGCTGTTTCTCCAGTTACTTGCGGATTTTTCTTTACACTTGTATAAAGTCTTTGCTGAAAGCTTTTGCTTTTAGTGCACACTATGGATGAATCATGTTAGGCAATGATCAAAAAGTAACTCAGCAGTCTATGCAGACGTGGCAGGCACTAGAGCACCGTATTAATATGTTGTCGGTACAGCTTGACGAAGAAAACGCTGATAAGCTGGGAGCATGTTAAAAATGGTTTGTTTATACAAGTGCTAAAGTTATGTTTGATATGTTAATGCAACCTCATTTTCTAGTGAAGGCCAAACAYTATTAAGTGGTTATCTTCATTGATTTTTCTATCTTCTAAAATACTCATTCTAAACTGTCTTTATTCCTTTCATGTACCTGAAACTTGAGGCCATCTTTTAACAGTCCCTTGCTGGGTAAGCTTCAAGGACTTTACTCCATGGTCTTCTCCTGGTTCTTTCCTTGACCCCTCTCATCAGCGTCCCGCCTTCAGCGGGCGGTCCTTTTGATCATTTCCTTGGCCTTCTCCAGCCTTGCACCCACCATGGCACTGAAAGTCATCAGCATTTAGCATGGACTGAGCTGATGCCTCTCACCATCCTCATCCTGCTGAATCACATCAGCTCACGTTGGCGCTGAACAGTCTGAGGGCTCGCTAATTGCCTCATAGTTTAAATTAGAAGGGGTGAAGAACTGCTCTATTTGCTACCTTTCCCTCCTTTTCTTTCTGGATCTCGTACTATCTTTCGGGTCTGCTATCTGCTTTGAGTTTTGCTTTTTGCCTTAGCTCCTTGTGGAGTATGGGAGTACTTGTTTGCAAAGACTGGTACTTTTAGAATAGKATTGTTGGGTTGTACCCTTTCAATGTGGCATAAAGGAAAACAGGGTGACAGGGTGACAGAGCAGTGGAACAGGCTGCCCAGGGAGGTTGTGGAGTTTCCTACTCTGGAGGTCTTCAAAACCCGCCTGGATGCCACCCTGTGCCACATGCTGTAGGTGTGCCTGCTTGAGCAGGAARGTTGGACTAGATGATCTGTAGAGGTCCCTTCCAACCTTAAATATTCTGTGAATCTGTGAAAACTGAGTGCCTGTAGTTGGGAACAGATGACGTTCCAGTGAAAAATGTACATATGAGCACTGATACTTACTGATGCTTAAAGTAGGCTTAAAGAGATTCACTGTCTGACACTGATTATATAGCATAAGCGAGGCTAACTTGTGTGGGGAATTTTTAGAAGGAAAATGTATATTCGGGTAGATGAACAAATGTTAGGGTTTGAGAGAAGGAGATGTCTTTTTTTCTCTAATATTGCTCCAGACTTMTAAATGCACGCAGGAGTCTACGTGACGAGGCAGATCCTGGGTGAATTGTTTGTGTGAAACCTTTATAAAATGACATGCTGCCATTTCTGAGGCTTAATATCCTTTTCTTAGCCAAGTGTTCAGGGCCATGGTCAAGGTGTCTGCTCCTTGACCTCCATCCACACTACTCTCATATTCTTTGATGTACTCAAAGTATCTGCAGTGAAGAAACAATTTTCTGTGTTATCATCCCATCTTTCAAGAGTATGAAGTTCATGGAAAGTTCCATCTAAGTGCACAATTATACCTCGGATCAGAACATTTAGGCAACCTGTGTTGCTGTAAAAATATCTTAACTTGTCTTTGACTTTAGGAGGATTATATTTGAATGTTTCCCAAGTATGAATTTTCACAAGTTTGGGATAAAAGGATTTAGGCATTTATAATGTTTAAAATGAAATACTTGCTTTAGCTCTCAGCTTTCTTTAAGGGATCCATCTGGCTTGTCCTGTTTGTCAGTACTGAATAGGATGATGTCTCCTCTTCAATGTGCTCCAAAAAATGTTTTTGTATGTGTTTTCAGAAGGAAATCCAGTTTCTTGAGGCTGCTGGCCTCTTGGAGCCCAGGAGGGAACCAATAAAAACACAGGTTCTTTTAAAGAATATCTATTTTTACTGGACCTTGCTAACAATCAGAATTCAAATAATGCTGTCTGAAATGAATAGGAGGACTGCATTGCTTAAAACTCTATTTTTAAAGCTTTTTCTGCATAAAATTATATAGAATTTTTTTGACCCCTTGTTAAAAAAAAGCCATTATAGAATACCATTTTTAATGTTAAAAACAGTTGTTTAGGTATGAAACTATTGTAAAGATTAAAAAAAAAATTAAGGCATATGAATTGTTAACATTTAAGAGTATTATTGTGATACTTTCACAAAAATTTTAAGGTCTTTTATTCCCAGTGATCTAGGAAATAATACATTTTGGTTCCCGATTTATTTGAGACTTCTCTTAAAGCATTGTCTCTAGAAATTAAGGCATTTGTGTACACAGGTTAAGTCAGGTTGCCTTTTCTTTCACTGATACCTTCAAAATGGATTCAAGTAACATGCCAGTTGTATATGCACAGTTTTTTTCAGGTATCAGCCTTTCTGGTGCAAATGAAATTGAAAGTAAATTAAGGTATATTACCAATATTGTTGTAAAGGTAATTGTGGCCAGGTTCTCTTGATGGCCAGATCTGCTTGTGGGATACAGGAATCCCCCAGCTACTGTTTATTTCATTGTCCTACCTACACAGGAGTGAGATGGAGAGCAGAATAAGATTTTACTCATGCTTTTCATTGTGCAACCTGCCCTCTGCTTCAGGTTTTTTTTATTATTGCTATTATTATTATTATTATTATCCTCTTTTTTTCCCATGTTCTTTTCCTTATTTCTATGTAATCTCCTGGTACCTTCACGCCTGGTACCTTTCCTCTGACTTTGTTTCTTTGCAGCTTTGTTTGTTTGTTTGTTGGTAGACAATGATTATTGTCTGACAGCTGATTTAAAGTGACAACCAATTTAGCTCTTTTAAACCAAGGTAACTAGGCACAGCCTCTTATGGTTAATGTAAAAACTATGATTTAGCTAACACCTAACAGACCCCTGTTCTTTAGACTACATGTTCAGCTGACAGTAGTAACCATACATATATGCAGGCAAACAGTAGCAAATGTTAAATTTTTAATTCGGTGTCATTAAGTTAAATATTTTAAAMAAAACCATCTTAAAACTTTTCCTCAAAGATGTGGTGAGCACTTGGGAATTAGAATAATCTCTTTATGTGAAAAAAAAAGTATAAAATTTACATATATATTTTCTAATGAAGTGATGTGTTCWGAATTTGGGAGGAGGTCCTTTAATTTGCCTTTTTTTAAAAAAAAAAATAAAAAAAAAGCATAGATATACTTCCTGCATGCTTCCTACAGCTGTTTAATACCAATATCTTTGTAATTTTTAATGCTTCTTAAAATGTTTTATGAAATATCTTTATCTGATACTGAACTTGGGGGTTTTCTTGRCATTTGATTGGATCAGGAAAAACCTGCATAATGATGCACATATAAAARTTCGATCTAATAGTCACTTAGCTTTTGGATTGTAACTTGCTATTGTCTGATGCTTCCTCTACTGCAGATATAGTGATGGGGTTATTTACGTTAATTCATTTGGCTTGTTGAAAAAATATGCCCACGCTCCTCTACTTAATGGGATTCTTTCCTCGTTGCAGTGCAAACGGCTGGAGCAGGAGCTTCATCATCTGAAAGAGCAGAACCAGACTTCAGCAAACAACACGAGACATCTGACTGCTGAAAACAATCAAGAACGTGCTCTGAAGGTAAATCTCCATTCCTTCCTGCAGGCAAATTAAGGTTGTAAGCCCCTGGTGCCAGCTTTCTGGGCTGCATATATCAGTTGTGTACATTTCGGCAGAAGTGAGCTATGGTGTTTGCCAACAACCCCTTCTTTAAACAYAGATACAGCACCCTTCTGTTATGGTATTATTTTATTTTGTGTGTGAAAACAACAAGAAAAAAAATAATGTATATTCCATATTATTGAGCTGCATTGTAGTAATTAACACTAAATTCTCAGAGCCTGTCATTGCAATTTCAATTGTACATTTGATAATGTGAAGAAAACAGCTAGCATTTGCTTCACAGTACTTTCACAAAACTAATATTTTAAAGTGTGGCTGTTTGATCTGCTGCTAGCAGTGTGTGCTATATTAATAACATTGTTGACCTGTACTACTAGTGACCACATAGTTGATAGCGCTATTTGCAAAAGGGTAGCTAGTTGGAATTGGGGAAGAAGAATAATAAGTCCTGTCAATAAGAATAAAAATGAGCAGAGAAGAGGGAGAGGGTCAGAGAAAGGACAGTGTAAAGTGTCAGGTTATTCCTGCTCTGCTTTGAGAAAATGGTATTTTGGTATTGTTACATCAATTTGAATTGATAGCTATGTAACTAGCAAGCACATCACTAGTCAGAATAAAAGGAAATGCCAGGTAAGATATACAAGCATCTTGCCTATTCAAKCACTGTATTTATAAAAAATCTCTTACAAGTAGTAGAGAGGTGATATAAATTTAGGAGAAGCTACTGTGTTGATAGTGTTGTCATTCTAAAACTGATAAAGGTTCTAAGATCCAAATGAATCTGATTTACAGGCAGGTTTTCCTCTGTCACTTTTTTTTTTTAGGTGTTAGGAAAACATCAGTGTTAGTGCAGTGACTTGATTAATGCGAACTGTAGGAATTAAAGGATCTCCTTGTTTAGTTTGATATTTCTCAAAAAAAAGAAAGTACAATGAATGAACTGACAGGTGCTACATGACACATGAATACTCTATGTTCCTTGGGCTTTTTACTGCTGTTAAAATCTCTGCTGGCTATTACAAAATCAGGTGTGCAGTATTGAGAAGGAATCCATTCTCAGGTGACTGAAAATAGATAATAAGCCTTCCAGGATTATCTCTCACCACAGGAGTAGAATTTTCTTGAATATATTATCACTAAAGGTTAGTGTTTGCCAGGCGTGGCAAAACTGTTTCAAGTAATTATTTTTATAATTTCTTAAACTGATATGTTTTTTTCTGTATGATTAAAAATGTTATGCACGGAGCCTTTATGTTGGAGAACAACAGTGTTTTACTGGCATTGTAATTTTTTTTTTTTTTTTTTTTGTAACATCTGACATAATGCTTTCCAAGCAAGAAGTGACTTAGTAGTTTAGAGTGTTAGTAGGATTTAATTCCTATCCCTGATATTACTCTCCTGGTCCTTGTTCTTTAAACAAACTAATTTCTGGCTGCTCTGTCACAGGCATTTTTAATTTTTCAAAGTTAGAGGTTAATTGGTCGTGGTCTCTTGGAGATGAGAGTCTAGGGAGAAAGAAATGGATGTTTTTCAGTTCTTGGTAGTCATGCTTGCACACTCTGTAGTCATACCTGCCCTGTAGGGTCTGTCTCAGTTTATATTACTGTTGTCTTCAGTGAGGACAGATTCTTCCAAGTACTTTTTAAAGTCCAGGTTGGTTAAGTTCAGTTCTTGATCTCGAAAACAAAATACCCACCTGAAATACTGACACAATAGGAGTTAGCTTTGACATACAGCATATGAACACTGGTTCTGATTAGTTCATTTGAAACATTCATTTGAATGAAAAACTTGTTATGTCTTTTTTTGCATACCCTGTATTATTTAATAGATGAGCTATCAGGGCTGCAAGTCATGTCAGTGATTCCTTAGGAATGGCTACAATGGAGCACCCTGTTAGGCCCAGCTCTTCAGGTCCGTGCGCTGCTGGTGTTGCTGCTTCTGCACCAGTAAGACAGTTTTCACATCTTACTGTCAGGTAACTCACAGCAATATCATGGCACGTACCTCTCCTGTGGAATCCTTTTCTTCTTAGCTACCTCATCCCACCTTCTATATGCTCGCAGTAGCTATCATAAATCTTCGCTACACACAGAGCACGTGCAGAGCCTGAGAATCCACCCCTGTCAGTCACAGAGCATCCTCGAGGTTATCGGAGCCTTTTCTTTCAAAAGACTATAATAGGCAGTTCGTCCCTCTGATGCAGAATAAAATATCAGCACAGCTGTTTCTGTTTTTACTGTGATCCAGCATACTGCATTTACATCTCTACATGCTAATTGGAACCTGTATTATACGCTATTAATTCAGATGTAAGCACCCATCTTGGATAAAGAATGATTACACACTCCCTCTCCACCTAGGATATATTATACTAAGAAACTTTTTTTTTCTTTCTAACAGCAAAAAAAAAAAATCTTTAATATTCTCTAAACTTAATTGGTAATGACCAATCCACTTGATTGGAAGATCTGTTGGCACAGTGGGGTGGTAAAAGTATGTTGTGAAAAATGTGGTGCTATGGATTTGCTATAAAGACCAACAGACAGGTAGACCTCAGATGCAGTGAAAGGGTGCATACAAGTAAAAAGATGATGATCAGAGAGCATAAGGATGGCATGAAACCTTGTGATAAAAACTGAGATCATTGTCTCTGTGGGGCCCTTAAATTCACTTAAGCAATGTTGGTCATTAACATGCTTGCTTTTTAAAGTCATAGCATTATTATGGTGGGAAAAGACCATCAGATCATCTTGCTTACAGCAGTGAGTTGCTCAGAAAGAATAAAAATTGTAAGGCCAATATACACACAAGTAACGTGTTTCACTACTCCTATTTTAAGCAACTACACAACTCTTTTGGTAGAGAGTGCTGGAAAGAGGAATCTTAACTCCGGCAATGTTTGTTAGAAGTGTTACCCCTTCATAGGATGTTATTAGGACATTGGATAAGGAAGGAGCTTGCTTTGGTGTTGGTAGTGGGTCAGACAGATCACAAAAGCAATGTAAGTGCTCTTGCATACTTTTTTTATATACTTTTAGTACCTGTGTTGCACCTGAGTATCATGTGTCAAATATATGGCATACAAGGCATGCTGTGTACACATATGCRAAGTGGTTTCATTTTACTGTAAAATATAACATATCTATGCAGTTGGTAAAATAGACAGTCCTAACTAATCTCTGCCATGCATATTGGTACTATGGGATTTAAAATTCATGTATTTAATGAATTTATTGAATAGAGCCTTCCATGCAGTGGTGGTGATTCAGTTCCACAATGCCAAATTGGTGCTCCTACTTTTTAATATTCTTATTGTCATAGGGGATTATATTAATTGAATGAAAAGGTTGATTTCAAATCTCCTCCCGTTCCTCCCGTCCTCAAAGAATGCCCAAGACAACACCAAGGTCACTGAGTGAAGAATTTGGGCCTCTATTTCCCTGCTTAAAGTAAAAATAATCCYCTTCTGTCTGAAACCATTTTTTAAAATCTCTTATAATATTTCAGATTGAATTATGTCAAAATCTTTTAAGGATAATTGCTTCCTAAGGGCCTATACATTTACKCTCTTAGTACATTTTCATAAAAAAAAGATCTACAGAGTGCTTTGCAGTTCTAATGTGTCTGGGTCTATATATAAAATTATTCATTTGTGCTTGGCCTTCATAATTAACATTTGGTCTCTGCTGATTCTGGTAAATGTATTCCCACATTATACTGAAATATCTGATTCAATTAAACACAGAAAAGTTTTAGAATTGCTGGTTTTCATCAGTATTCAATATCATTGTGGATCATTTTGTTGCTGTTGGCTTTGTGGTGCGTAATTTTGGAATACAGTTTTAAATAATACATTCACATAAAGAAAAGCAGAGTTTTTTCCAGTGTGAATGTCCTCTTTATTGCATTGAAAAAAAAGCTGGAAATAAGTCTTGTGAAAACAAAAACTTAATGTTAAAATCAATGGAAATGATTTAAGTGGATTTGAATACAACATATAGAGAAGTGATTTTTTTTTTTGTTCACACACCTATGATTTCATTTTGAATTAGGCACTACATTCTTTTTAAAGCAGCTATTAATCTGCCTTAGCCACCAGAGAGACATACTAATTTACTTTCAAGCCCAACTCTTTAAAGTGGAGGAGAGGCTGTTCTATGATGATACAGAAATCAGGTGCCCTTTAATGACTTAATGAGTGTACTTTAATGAGCCAAGTATGATGTCATTAGAACTTGTAAAGGTTATTCATCTCCTTCAGAGCTCTTACTATGTTAATCTTTGGCTATGATTGACTATTTTTATTTTTTTTTTTTCTGAGATTTTTCTGTAGAATTCATCCTCCATTTTTCCATGGTTTTATTAACAATATCATGGGTTTGGAGTTAGATGCAAGACTGGGCTCAGCGAGATAATGGGCTGTCAGAACTTTCTCCAGAGAAGATGAACCACAGTGGCAGAAAGCGTGTGTTGCTGTTGTCACCTGCTTTCTGCTGGCCTGTAAGAAACAGGTTGGGGCAGGAAGTCTACAATGCAGCTCAGTCATGATGATGCCTATCAAAAAGCCACCCTAGAATGYTTGCTTTTAGAAGTCCCTGGTGCCTTTCATAAGTTGTGCTAAGCTCTATTTTGATTCCCAGACATTTCTAAGATGCTTAGAATGGAAACCCTTTTTCCATATCTGCTTAGCTGCACCGGTCACAAAAACAAATCTATTCAACCAATCATTCACAAGAAGCACAATCACAGAAGGATCTGGTGCTATAAAGAACTTAAAAATATTAAATTGCCTTGAAAAATAAATTTAAAATGCTTGCTCTCTTGAAAAGCATGGAATATTCATTTTATTTGGATGTATAATATGGGTTATGGAATAATGTGCTTTTAACCATGCCCCTTATCTGCAAAAAAAGTCATACTAGCATTGCTTTTATTTTTAGTCATTTTCAGAGCTT